TTTCTTTAATAGCCAACATAGTTATCCATTATAAATCATTACTAACATGTGCTTGTATTATTTATCATTAACAATGTTATTGTGAATTGTTACAATTATAGTATTGTGTATATATATGTGTGTATGTTATGGCTATTGTTCTTTGCTTTTTCTTTTTGCAAAGAATGATGTATTGTAACACAATCTACATATAAGTGATATATCAGATTATGTTTACTATAATTGTCTCCTAGCATTCTTTAGTTAATCTAGTACTATATGCAATTGTAGTATTTGTTCAGCATTTTATTTGTTAATTGGTTTGCTAGGTAAAACGTTTTATATATTGGTTTTATTTATTTTATTTGAATCATTGTATAGATATACCTATTAGTATCTATCCAATGTATTTCATAGTATTATAATACTGTTCACACTTGTATTAATTGCACAGTAAGGGCAAATTAATTGTTTGTACAAGAATCAATTTAATAGTTTTATTTAATTATATGTATGCACTCCATACTTGTTTATATAGTTATTATCTGTGTATTGTTTGGTTGTAGTTGCAAATTATATCACAATTATATTTGTATTATCCTATGGATATATTATTTATTGTTTTATGTATGTTCCACAGTATTATTTTTGTTATTCATCACTTTTATCCATGAACTATAGTCTGGATTAGTGAATTATTTTGTTATATGATGTGATAATTGTCTGTATATTATTTATTTTCGTATTAAACACTGTTAAGTTAATTATATTATTATATTAATATTATTTGCCAAGTATGAGCATTTGTTTCATAGTAGAATTATTATTTATTTAATGTTGAAGTTCAATCACACATTGTGTTGACTTCCATTATTTAGTTCCAATCAATATAGTTTTGCTTTGTACTGAATGATTTACCTTTATGATCCGTTATGTCTGTCTGTAACTTCTATCACTTAGTCAGTACTTAGTCTGTACATTTTGTTATTCTATTTTTCATAGGTTGTTATTCTATTTTTTGTAGTGTCTGTAGCATTATACTTTCTGTTCTGTTGTTTATATTTAGTTATTAATTGTTTGTGCATATTATCCATTTTCTCCCCTTCAATTCAAGAAGGTATTTCTTTAAAGAATTGGATATTTCTTTAAAGTTTATTAATCATTGTTATAATATAATATTTATATATAATAATTGTAATTGCTTTCATGGTTTGATTTCTAATTATTAGTATTTTAAAGAAGTGTGTAACATTTGTTATGTTCTATAATGAGTAATTTAAATGTTATTACTATTATATCTTTGTTACTGTTAACATTTGTCAACTTATATAATGTGTATTTTGTTTGTTATAGTAGATAAGTACACATTATGTATAATATACGAGTTTTGTTTGTGCTTGTTATCTTTTTATTAATAATCATTCATAACTATGAATGAATATTTTGTTTTTGTGTTAAAAACATATGGTAATTTGTTTGTTTCTGTATAATATTTGTTTAATAACATTGTAATTATTATTTATGTAGTGCTTTTAGTAAATGCACTGAGTTCTATTAAGTACGCTCGTCCAAGATAATGGCTTAAACATTTTATTAATTTATTTAATCATATTATATTATGATTGTTTTCAATTGTAATTATTATAATAATGTGTTCATAATAATAATATTTGTATTATTCGTTGTAATAACCTTATCAGCTTAATACTTTGCTCCTACAAGCTACATTGTCACAATGTAAATTTAATAATTGTTTGTTAAGGTATATACACTGTACAGTTAATGTTACTGTTACAACTTCGAAATTTATTATATAATCAGCTGGTGATAACACGTTCTACATAATTAAGTTGTATTGATGTGTTGTTTCAAGTATATTAGAGATATAATTCTTTCGTTCGTCATTAGTATACATTTACACAATTGTATTAATGTGTAAAGTAGTATCATTTGTTTAATAATTATAATTTTTGCACTTGTCTTGTGCTGTAGTTAGTATTTACACATTATAACATTATTCTTTTGTTACTA